AGGGAGGTGGTGATGGGTTGGTGAGGGTACCCAGGAAGGCAGTGATGGGCTGGTAACGGTACCCAGGTGAGCAGTGGTAATACCCAGGGAGGTGGTGATGGGTTGGTAACGGTACCCAGGTGGGCAATGGTGGTACCCAGGGAGGTGGTGATGGGTTGGTAACGGTACCCAGGTGGGCAATGGTGGTACCCAGGGAGGCGGTGATGGGTTGGTGAGGGTACCCAGGAAGGCAGTGATGGGTTGGTGAGGGTATCCAGGGAGGTAGTGATGGGACAGTGGAGGTACCCAGGGAGGAGGTGATGGGTTGGTGAGGGTAGCCAGGTGGGCAGTGGTGGGGCAGTGGTACCCAGGAAGGCAGTGATGGGTTGGTGAGGGTACCCAGGTAGGCAGTGGTGGTACCCAGGAAGGCACTGATGGGTTGGTGAGGGTATCCAGGGAGGCAGTGATGGGACAGTGGAGGTACCCAGGGAGGAGGTGATGGGTTGGTGAGGGTAGCCAGGTAGGCAGTGGTGGTACCCAGGAAGGCACTGATGGGTTGGTGAGGGTATCCAGGGAGGCAGTGATGGGACAGTGGAGGTACCCAGGGAGGAGGTGATGGGTTGGTGAGGGTAGCCAGGTAGGCAGTGGTGGTACCCAGGGAGGCGGTGATGGGTTGGTGAGGGTAGCCAGGTGGGCAGTGGTGGGGCAGTGGTACCCAGGAAGGCAGTGATGGGTTGGTGAGGGTACCCAGGTAGGCAGTGGTGGTACCCAGGAAGGCACTGATGGGTTGGTGAGGGTATCCAGGGAGGCAGTGATGGGACAGTGGAGGTACCCAGGGAGTTGGTGAGCTTACCCAGGGAGTTGGTGAGCTTACACAGGTAGTGGAGGTACCCAGGAGGACAGTGGAGGTCCCCAGGGAGTTGGTGAGCTTACCCAGGTGGGTGGATGCTCTCTGTAGGCTCCCTTTAAGACTCTAATGGGTCTTTGCTTTCACGCCTCTCCTGACCAGCCCTTTCGGATGGAGATTAGCTCAGGTATCTTTCTCAGCCCTGGTTCACCACAGCCCCACAGAGACATGTGCACCATTAGCAGCACCGGCGACGCACCAAGGGCTGATTTAAGCACTCTCGGTTTTGAACATGCTCTTTCTCTAAGGCCCCTGCAGAGCTGGCTCAGGAAATACTTGCTCCCGACTTTGTTGTTATGTTTGCATTTGTTGTTGGTTTGGTGCCGTAGCATCTTTCCCCACTAAAGCCCCCTGGCAGTAATGCCAAGGGGATTTTCTCTCTTTTTTTTACTAAAATTCCCTGCTATTGTTGCAAGCCTCATGTCAGACAACCGCAAAAAACCCCACCACTAAATAGATGTGGGGTTCCACGCTTGCAGTGGGTCACTGGGCACTCAGATGGCTATGTGGATGGTACTTGCTATTTTTCACTTTCTAAGAGATACTTTACATTTGAAACTATAGCGACATCAAATTCTCAATAGAGTCGGTGTCTGAGAGAATAACGTAAAGTGATGGAGGCGGTGCAATCCGCAACAACCTACAAAACAGATCTGTGCAAAGCCTGAGCTTGTTCCCATTAAACACAGCTACCACAGGCAGTTCCGTCTTTTTTAGCCTATTTGCTCTCTTTCGTATTTAACCACAGATCTCACACACAGCCTCATTCCCAGGATAAGCGCAGACAGCTGGGATGCATCGCGTGTAATTGTGTGTATTTACATACATATATATACACGGTACCGTGAAGCTGAGTCAATGACCCTCTTTTGTTCCCTCTTTAATGCAGGAGCTCAGCACCCTGGGATTTGAATGTACCCTTGAAGAGGTTGATCTTGAAGATATCACCAAGAATCAAATCAACACGATAAAAGCTTGCACATCTGAGGATTCAGGGGTAAAAAAAAAAAAAAAAAATTATCAAGTTTCAGCATCGTATTTTCATGGAACAGACATATAATTCACACTTCCACAAAATCACCATGTCTCATTTCTTCTTTAATTTGCAGACTGGAAACTGTCCAGTACTGGAAAGATCTACTTTTGATACGGTAAATTGCAAGTTTCCCAAAAGAACCCCTCCTTTTGCTTGTTGTACGTTTAAAGCATAGATTCCCACGTTTCCTAACAATTCTGCCTTTTGCAGAGCAAATGCCTGCAGGGCATCTATGAGGATCTGAATGCCTACAGGGCAGAGCTGAAGAACTTCAGTGATCAAAAGGTGCTGGCAACTATTGATGAAATGATGAGAGTGAGTATTCCTGCCTCCTTCCTTTCTGCTATTTCTGTCTTAAACCAGAGGCTTTAATCCAGTTTGCTCCATTCTGAAGGCAGGCAAACAGTGACCTTTCTTTAATTTGGTAACTTAAAAAAACCTGCCTGTTACTGGTTTTCCTAGAAGGGACTTGGTTCTTAGGAATTGTGTGTCACACTTTGTATTTTTGCCTTGCTGATACGGTCAGCCCCCCAGGACTGAGACGTACGGCTCCTTAGCATCCCTCCTGCTTTCACACCGCTCCGCTCTGGCAAGGAGACGGGGAAGAGGATTTTCTGCCAGCTTCTCAGAGATCTCAAAAATAGCGTAAAAGATAGAGTTAAAGGGACAGAGCTCTATCTCTCTTCCAAATACTGACATATAACACGCCTGGTATACTGAGTATGGCGTAGGATGTACTGAACTTTGATAAATATTATTAGTGAGAAGAGGGAATAGATGTTAAAAGCTTGTTTGTTTATCTAACAAAAGCTAATTTAAAAAAAAAAAGTTAATTGCCTTTGTATTGACACAGCATCTCCCATAGCCTGGAGATTCAGGCCACGGGCAGATGAGCCCAGTCTAAAGGGTCGCTAGACAAAGCCGGCCATAGGCTTTTTATTGAAAAAGCATCTTTATTCCTGGGCAGAAAGAGCCTTTGTGCATGAATGGACATTTTTGTCTCAAGGAAAGTACAGCTGCACATCCAAAGTCTATTAATTATACCACTAAATATTTCAAAATTTATCCTAAGTCTATTAATTATACCATTAAAGATTTCAAATTTTTCATTTATGAGAATACGTTATTATTTCTAAGTCTTGTCATTCACCTCTTGGGAGGGGGCAAAAAAAATCTACCGAGGTTTTTTTTCAGCCGCTTTCTGGCGATAGTTCTTAACTCCCCTTCCTCTTCCCAGGCGCTGAAGACCAGCAGCAGGAGCGTGCCGCAGCCCTCGGCGGGCGCGGGGCTGAGCTCCTTCAAGGAGAGGATGAGGCTCTGCAGCATCCTTCACGCCTTCCGAATCCGCACCATCACCATCAACAGGATGATGAACTACCTGACCTCCCCGGAGAGCTCGCGGTAACCGCCCGGCCCTCCAGCACTGTGGGTACTAATTTGACCCAAGGATGTTCTGGAGGGAAAAAAAGAAAAAAAAAAAGTAGGGTCGATACCCCGCGAGGTGGTCGGTGGCTTTTAAGGAATCTAGAGCATAATATTTCAGTTTCTTATAAATCACGTTTTAGCAAGCTCTTGTTAGTGCCTTTTAATCTATCATGTTAAACTTCCAGATTTCTAGAAAATAAGCTACGTTGCCGTACCAAAATGTTCTCAAACCACCAAACACTCAACTGTAATTTAACTCTTCTATTTATTCAGCTGTAATTTTCAGAAATTGAAACATATTTATAATAATCAATTTATTTATGATGATATTCCTTATTTATTCTATTTATTGCCTAATAAAATTAAAGTTTGCATAAAAACTGCGGTGCCTTTTTTTTTTTTCCTTCCACAAGCTATAACGTGAATGTTTTTAAAATACTTTGCTGGCCTGTAAAGGTATGCCATAGTAACATTCAGCACTGGCATCATATTTTAAAATCCTGTTTCTTTTCTTGCTTACATCAGACATGTTTCTTGTGGATTTTCTCTCAGGCCGAGCACTCAAAGCAACCCACTTGATTTCATCCTCACTTACAGTCATTTTTCCAGCCGGTCACACAGTTTCCAGGGTGAAGCCCTGGCCCCACCGAAACCAAAGTGAAATTGTGGGTTCCAGCGGGGCGGCACGGACCAAGCTCTGAGCCAAGAGCAACCTCGTCCTTCGGTTCTGCGATGCAGCTGCGATGTTTTCATTCCTTCTGCCTGCAAGAACTGGACAAAGCCAAACCGAAAACTACAGAAATAAAACTTTTTTTTTTAAAAAAAAAAAAAAAGCTTCTTGATTTTAATTTAAAGCACCTGAAGTTTGAAGACCTTATCATCTCTTTTGACCACCTGCTACGCTATCCAGTTACCTTCGTTCTTACAAACAAGCATCTTGTTTCCAGCTTGGATTTACTGATCTCTGCTTCGGACCAGAGGGTCCTACTGGAGCTTTGGGGTTTATTGGGTATCGTAAAGGTCCCCCTGATGTACATAACGGTGGGGCATCAAGGGCTGGGTAGATGGCCCACAACATACAACAACCTTGTAACGTTTCACCCAATAGCTAAGGTAAATTAAAAGAAAAAAATCAAATCATACATTAATAGTGTAAATGTTTCCTTTTTAATCCTTATTTTTTAAAAGTAGGCTTATTCTTTCCTAGACATACACAGAGGAAGACGATCAAAAGAATCCTGCGTCTAAAAACAAGACAATCTCCCGTATCGGCTCGCCGCTCTCTTCTGCAAACAACCCTCTTTCCAAATCTTTCCCAAATCCGAAGTACACACATTGCCGACAGAGTGACAGCCTTCACAGAGATTTTGGCTGCTCCCGTTTTAGTTTAAGTGCCTAATTCTATTCAAGTTAAAATTCATCAAGTAAAAAAAAAAGTATAAGAAGTTTATAATACAAAAAAAAAAATTATACAACATAAAAAATTATCTTATAAAAACTGAGACAGACTATACACAAAAGAGCAAGGAATAAATTCCCAGAGAAAATTCAAAGCTGCCCGGAGTTAATAGTGGTGTTCCCATAAAACCAGTCTTTGGGTTTTTAGAAAACAGAACTACAGCTTAACAAGGACTGAGTGTACACGAGCAGATACAGTAATGACCTATATACACAGTGATTATGCAAAAGAATTTACCTGCAAGCTTAGGATTATTCTTCCCTGATCTTGGGCATCTGTGAGAAATACAAAGTACCTCATGATTTTGGCAGTTCAATTTTTTTTTTTTAAGGGGATGAAAGTTTCTGCATAACTTTTCTCCCTGTCTTTCCCTGATGTAAATAAAAACGTTTTCCGACAATGATTGTATACCTGAAGAAGGTCAACTGGTTTCTTCCAGTGTTGATGTCTTTTAGGACCGGCTTTAACGAGCCAAAGCCGGGTGCCAGTGTTGGGTTTCCCCGTTCGTGAAGCCCGGCACTGCCAGCCGCGACGCCGGGATCCACCGCATGAGTCATTGCTCCTGAAAGTCTTACGTGTGCTTATATCCGAGCAAAATTTCATTCACGCTTCTTGCGAAGATCCCGCCTAATACTTCCCGCTGAGTGATGATGCCTCGCATCTTCCTTCCCCAATCCCAGCGAGGGTCCCGGGGAAGCTCCCACCGCGCTCCCGGCCGCGGCGTCGCCAGCTCAGCGCTGAGCCGAGAAACCTGAGGAAAGGAAGGCGCACAGACACACCGCGATTACCCTGTCTCTAGAAGTTACTGCCACGTGCAAGTTGAACAAGAAATGTATTCAAAGCCTACGGGACAGGGTTGGGAGGGTCAGACGGGCGAGGGAGTACGAGCAGCTCTCCACCCTTTGCGGTCAGGGAGAATTAAGAAAGAACAAAGTTTTGCCTGTTGCTGAAAAAAATTTATTTCGTTTTTGAGAAAGGTTCCCCTTGGCTGGCTTAGTTCTCGGCTCACTGAACAGCTTTGGTTTGCAGAACGTCGGAAGCCCCCCAGAAATGAGGGGGAGCAGCCAGGGACAGTAAGGGAACACCGACCGCCCCCCCCCAGGGGTCCGCAGGGCTCAACCGCTGAGTCGGCCGTCAGGGGAAGGTGGTGATTCCCCCTTCCTAAAATACGTAAGAGTAAAGACCCAAACATCTCTTCTCAGGACTTCAGAGAAGCCCAAGAATTGCCTTGGGTCTATAACGCCGAGTCCCTCGGGCATGCCGAGAGTACGTCCGTGCAAAAATACGATTCATTCTGTATCAGTTTCTGAAGGGAAGTATAAAAATGCCACAAGAAAGAAAGTTATCGCTAACATCAGAAGGGAGAAAATTTTGCCCTACGTAGTAAGACACGTGCGAGGTATTTGGTAAACTCTCTGATGCGAATTCTTAAAATACATCACCTGAAACACGGGGATGTACCGAAGTAAACGTAACGGGAAGGCGATACCTTGCAGGGCTTGCAGGATCTCACAGGACGCTTTTTCACGGAGCCTGTGGTACAAAGCTTCTGCAGTTCCGTTGCTTTGCTCTCTGTCTCTCCACTTGCTTAACACCAGAAATTTTTGTATATTAACTTCTCGCTCGGTTGCCTGGATCTGCTCGATGTCTTTCATTTCCATCTGAAGACACTCAATGGCAATTTCCCTCCACTGCCTACCAAACAACTTTGCGATCTCCATCAGCTGTTGATCAGTTAACTTTTTCGGTTCAGTTCCATCTGAAGAGACACAGAACAAAAAAATCCGATTTAACATTGCTCTTTTCATTAAACTTGTAACTAAATCACACTATTAGGTCTGTGCATGGCCGGGGGACGTACGATGAAGGTGATCTTCTTATTCAGATTACCCAGCAAGGGCAGAGCCAAGCGCTGGAGAAAAGGACTAAGAAGCCCAACTCATGACGATGTCTGATTCCATGCTGGCTGCTGTAAAGGGTTTTTTTCCCCCATTTATAAGCAGCTATTCATCACGGGAAGGATCTCCCAAGGTTACCAAGCACCCAGAGATTTTGAGACATCTAACGTTAGGGCGATGCTAAGCGCTCGCTATCTCCCGGCAAGTTCAGATGCCTGCTGTTCTCAAAGCCTCCAGCCGCTCCGGAAAGGTGAGGTTTGGTTTTCCTTTAACTGCAGTGGCTCCGAAGTCTCGGCCCAGCCCGTGCTGTTACAGGGACCGAGCCGCTCTCCTTCTCCGTGCCACCACCGACCGAGAGAGAAAACGGAGGTTTGGAGGGAGGGAAGCTCTCCCGCTGGCGGCTACATGCACCCATCAATAAATACCGATGGGGCTACTTTTGCCGATTATTTTTTCATTTCCTTATTGAACTAACATTATTTCTTCTGTATTTGTTCCAAGTAACTATCGGTAAATGAGTAGTTTCTGGGTGGGAGCTCCCAGCATTTCTGACCATCAGGTCATCACGTGTCAGCAATGAACAAGAACTGACTTTTTCTTTTCTCAGAAAATCAGGAGATAGCCCAGACGCAAAATCTGAGACCTGTAGTGGAAACCTCTTTCAAAAACAGCCACTATTGCCCAGTCTGAGAAGACAAGACCGTTTTAGCTGAGCCTTATAAAGCAAATTTCCTACCTGCTTCTCCCCATTTACTTACTGAAGGAAGGACAGCGTACCAAAGCACACAAAGGTAGGTACAGTCTCGGCACCTACAAAAGCAGCACTTTCTCTTCCTATATTTCACGCTCAGATTTGTGGGGGCTTTAAAAAAGCGAGCTCAGGTTCAATTCACAGGATACAAAAAAAACCCCAAAACAACAACCCAAACGTGTTATTTTAAATGACGCAGCAACGCTCTACCTGCATTATTGCCGGTCCTTTGCTTTTTGCTACAGAGCTCATCTTCTTCCAAAATGCTGAGGGCTGGTTTCCGTTTTTTGACGCCTAGGAAGCAAGCGAGAGGCGATGTTACCTCTGCCGTCTCGCTCCGGCTACGACAGCGAGCGAGGTACACAGAGAAAAAAGCACCCCCAACTTATCTTCAAACGGACTTACTGACTGCGCTTCGTTTCTGCTTGTTTTTGTTCTGATCGTAATGTATCCAGTCACCTGGCAAACAGTTTTCAAAGGAAACAAAAGGTGAAGGAGGAATTCCCATTGCTATGCCCCACATCCAACAATTCCCAGGCACAAAACCAAGCTGTTGGGTGGGTGGATTCTGGCTGCTGAGCTAAGATTTTATATAACGAGATGATTTTTTCCTTCTTTTACCCAACGTGCTGCAGCATGCCATCTATAACGTGCAATAGAGATTGCATATATCGCATAATACGCAACAGAGATTGCAGATTATTCCCAGTAAGTAAAACTACAGCGGAGCATCCTCCCGCACACCCCGTGGCCCCGAAGCCTTCGCCCGTTCGCTCACGAGGGATTACGCAGGGTACTGCAAGATCCCCGACCCGACCTCCCGGAGCTCTGCTCTTTGTCTTTTATCCCTTCCAGCTCCAAACCTCGCGATTTTAAGAGCAGGAATTTAGGTGCATCCAAGGGCTGAATGACAGCCCAACTCCCGCGCCTTTTGTCGTGGGAAGACCGCAGACTCACTCTCTCTCAGTTTTGCTTTCCATACGACCGCGTCAGAGTCCAGCTCAACCAAAGACAAGGTGAAGTCGCCAGGTTTCTCCAAATAGACCTCAATGTAGCTTTTTAGTTTCAAGAGAGATCCATCAACAAATTCAATTTCCTATATCATGTAAAGAGGTTAAAAATAAGTATTTATCCAAAACAAACTAAAGAGGAACTATTGGGCGGTTGGCACAGAGCTGAGCCCAGCTCCAAAGTTTTGCAGTTCACTTTAGCGTCAGGATTTCATCCCAAAATTTTAGGGCTCTAAGAGGCAAATGCTTTCTGCAGCAATGGCGAGTGAATGTGAAAAACGTCCTTAATGCCAGCGCAGGAATGTACAGAAAAAGCCGTTTTGTGCCCTGTTTCTAATGAAGCTGCGATGCACGGACGGAGGGCTGTGTAAGGGACTTACCTCCGGAGTGATTTCAGCTTCTGGCTCACAAACTAATCTATATCTCTTTCCATTCTGTAGTAATTTTTGGCATACAGGAGGCTTGTCAATTTTAATGAATTTCTTATTCGAATGTTTGACAGCTTTCCAGATATCCTAAAATTTAAAAATAGAATTTGAAGGTTACTTACTTCAGTAAAGGAATTAACATTTAAAACCTGTGCTCAGGTGGCTCCTCGGGCTTTCCTCTGGCCCCGGCTCTATAGAACGGCCGCGACTTTCTCCACGGGACAAACTTTACAGAAAGTTGTGCACTAAACACCGTGCTCGAAAAACATCAGATGAACCTCTTCAGCTACTGTGCTGCGTGGCTGAAATTAGATAGAGGAGTTTGCAACCCGAATAAAAGGAAGGTTATTTGTCGCTGTCCTTATCTCGTGTTTGCCTGCGTATTGTAGGGGGGAACGGGCGAGAGGACAAGAAGCTCTTTCAGGTACAAATCCTGAGCTTTGTGGATTTTGGTGGCAAACGGGTTTCTTTTCTACAGCAGCTTGTGAGCGAGCACATTGGCCAGTATAATTACTTAAATATCATACCCTAACTTGGCAGCCCTTTTCAGTATGGAAGTCTCCGTACAGACAGATCTATATATATATAGCTTTGCAGGCAAACACTGGGGCGAGAGCAGAGCATCTCTTTGCCATACGCCATCCCCCATGGAGCACCCCCATAACCAACCCTGCCGGTATTTCTACGTCATGCCGCCCGACACGAGCCCTACCTTTATAAAGGAGTCGTTGTTTGTGGCCACGTAGACCCGAAAGGATAAGGAGGGATGCCCGTCGACAACTTTATAGAGGATGACGGCACCGTGGTACTGCACCGGCTCCTGGCTCTGGATGAGGGGTCCCACCGGTGACAGCGAGCTCACCAGCCACTTGACGTGCGAGGCCGAGTAGTCGGCGGAGGGCTCGATGGCTGCGTCCTTCCCTTTGATGTGTAAAACCTTGAAGGCCATGCCAGCACCATGATCTGCGGGGACACGGGGTTGCCTCAGCACCTCCTGCGCCGGGGCGCCCGCAGCCCTCCGTGCCCACCCGGC